TCTTTATCAAGACCTGAAACTATTCGTTGGGGTTCTCATCACAAAACATTGTTGAGATTGGAAGAATTTTTTTATACTACCACTAATGTTCTTGAGTATGTCCAAGATGAAGTTTGGAAAGACTAACAGAAACGTCAAGTATATGGTCTTCACAAATACTTTCACACATTCGACTGTGTGTTTTATTTGCATCTTATTTTTGGGTTTACTGCGATTTTTTCATTGACTTTGCAACATAAAGATCAAGATATTTTGAATGTTATGTTACTAGTAGAATCTACTAAACGAGAGTTCCAGAAGCTTAGAGATGATTGATGAGATTTGCTTATGGCTAAAGTTGCTTCTTTATGTAAGAAATACAATGTTGAAATGCTCATCATGGAAGAAGATTTTGTTGATCTTAGGAATCCAAGAAAGAGAACTAACATAAGCAATATGTATCATTGTAAGGTCAATGTTTCTGCACGGTTCTTGATTTGCAGATTCAAGAGTTCAACGTTCGTTTTACAGAGGTAATTACTGATCTACTTATCTGTATGGCTGCTTTAAGCCTCATTGATTCATTTCATGGGTTTGACAAAGAGAAGCTGGTGCGATTAGCTAAATTATATCCAGATGATTTTAGCTATGGTGAGCTTTTATCTCTAGAGTAACTGTTGACATGAAGGAATTACTAAGATAACAAGAGATGACCATTGGTACAAGCGTGACCATGAAGAGCTTGACCATATGGTCAACTACAAATAAGATGACCATTGGTGCAAGCGTGACCATGAAGAGCTTAACCATATGGTCAACTTCAAATACAATGACAATTGGTGCAAGCGTAACCATGACGGAAGGAGAGCGATGGTACAAGCTTGACCATATGGTCAACTACAAATACGATGACCATGGGTGCATAGCTTGACCATGATGGAAGGAGACCATATGGGCAAATTCAAATTCTCTTCTTCTGCCCTTCCCCACGTGCATTTGACCGTTGTGTACCAACTTGTATTATTTTAATTATTTTTATTTCAAGCCACTTGCCTATTTATTTTGCTGTAATGCACATTGATTTAATTAAGGAAAATATTTTCCTCTTTCTATTCTTCCTTTCTCATGAAATTCTCTCTCTCTAAATTCCTCAACTCAAATACTTCTAATTCTTACATTCTATCAGTAACAACTTGATATCTACATCGATAATATACGCAGAGACAAAAGGTTTAAGAGTGTAGAAAATCTTGGAGATTTTTCATGTTTGATGATGAAAACTCAAAAGCATTTTGCGTATCCTTTGGTTTATAGACTTTTAAAGTTAGTTCTAATTTTACCAGTTGCCACCGTAAATGTTGAAAGATGTTTTTCAGTAATAAAGTTAGTGAAAACAGCTATACATAACCAAATAAAACATCAGTTTTTAAATGATTGTATGATATGCTTTATTGAAAAGAGTTATTTGACTCAATTTCAATTAAGAAAGTGATAAAAAAATTTCAAATGATAAGTGAGCATAGAATTATTTTGTAAAAAATATTTTTTTACTTGCTGGATTTTTTATAAAACATTGTCTTCTAATTTTATTTAGTTATATTTTATGTTTTACTCCATAATTTATATTTTCTAGATTCACCACTGCACAATCACCATAAAATATTCAGACCTCCTAGATCGGTTATCATCCAAACTTTACGTTTAGAATTTGTCAAAGTTATCTACTTTTTTTTTCTATATTTTGGATAAAGAAGATAAAAATCTCGTTTAATGATGTTTCAATCAAAATAACCTCATCCTTTTTGATAGCTTGATTATTTTCGCGAAACATAAAATTCGGTCACACGTACTATTGATATTGTCATTTCAGTGTTTATATTTTTAGGTCTCTAATAAGTAATAACTGGTACTTTCTCTTTCTCAGTTTCATAATTAATAAGTGTTACTTTAATCTTTTTATTTTGCTTCAAAAAATGTTATTTCACAATTTTAATATAATTTTATACATTAAATCTATTTTTACCTTTTTGAATAATCAATAGAATTTATTTAAGTCATTCTCACTTAATTAAATATACATTAAATAAAAATATATTAGTTTATTATACAATTTTGTTAATCTTTATGTACAATGACACTTATTTAGAAACAAATAGAATATTTCCTTTAACGTCCGATGACAAGCTCTAACGCCACTAACATAAACGTTTTAAAATGTATGCATCACAACACAAACATTGTTAGACGTTATAACAAAAATGTAGTTTTCGTTTTAAGGTGTGGTATAACAAATCAATTGGTATCACTAATTACTACATTGTTGTATTATTATCCAAAAATAGACCACTTGATTGGTTATCTCGTTAGTAGCTACAAAACTTTTTTTTTAACTGATTTCGTATCCTTTCGTAAATATATAAAACCAAGAGGAAATGAAAGTATCATCAACAAAAAAAACAATAAGAATTCAGAACTTGTGTAACTTTATAAAAAAAAGAGAGATATGAGAAGAGACAATAGCATTGCCAAGAACGCTATACTTTGCTGCCTTATATTGCAACTCATCATATACCAAGGAAAATCCATAGAAGTTGGAGATGTGAGTTTCTCGCTAGTGATGAAAAACGAAATGTACGGCTTAAAACGTCCATTGGTTTACTACAGGTGTAAGTCGTCTGAAAAATCCCTCCGGTGGCACAAATCGCATCCCAAAACAGAATTTACATGGGATTTTGATGTACCGCCGTTTGGAAACGGCGTGGTGACTCACCAATGCCAGTTCATGTCAAGCCAAGGGACAGCAGATGTCGAGATCAAGACGTTGTCGATGACATCTATGTTATGCGGAGGACATGTGTGTGAATATGTTATCAGACCGACCGGTATATATTTCGTTGGTTTCGAGACTTATTATCCGCACAACATTTTGTTAAGGTTCCTAGAGTTGGTAAGGCCTGTTAACAAGCTTGTTGAGCCATGGAAGGAGTGGTCTCCGCGGCAGTTAAATGCTTTACGAGCGGAACGCAATCGTACTATGTCAAACGATAACGAAGATTATCATGATGACGACAAGGAAAAAGACAATTAGGTCTAGAACACATCATTTCTGCCAATGAAAAGAGTGAAGAAATGAAAAGAAATAGAATAGAATTAGTTAATTTTCTCTATGTGATATGTAGTGTCCTTTTGTATGTTAAGCTCTCATATAAATTCCTGACAAAAAAAAAAGAAGTAAAATTCTTTATTTTTTAAACGTAATTGATATTTCCTACTGATGCATGTGGTGAAAACTAGTTGTGTCTCCTTTCTTTGGCCTGCGTGTGAGTTGTATTTTTTTTTTGTCTAATGCTGATGAGTTTGTGACAAAGACTTGTTCCACATTGTCTAGTTTTCTATCTTTCTCTGCACCTTCTAATATTTTTCCTTTGTCGATTGGTAATATTCATTTTTTTTCACAAGTGAAAACTTTTGTGGGCTAAATTCAAATTCTACCTGTTATTACTATCATAGTTACAAATGAATGTTGTAGTTAGTTCCTTTTTTTTTGTAGGAGACAACATTAACTTTTATTTTGAATCAAACAACATTAACTTTGTAGGAGTCAATACTATAATTTGTACGAGGCAATATTATTATTGTGGTCGACAATCGATCAAAAAGACTGGGGAAAAAAGGTTAAACAAACGAATGGACTAACTTCACACTGAAAATACAAATAGCTCATGAAAATAGTTTGTTCCAGAGCAATAAATTTTAACATTTCAAAAAATAATAATACAAATACCTCACTAGACCATGTTATATGACAACAGTGGTGTCATTTCCTAAGCCACCTTTTACCGCCTCATAATAACCACCACCAAGGTTTGCTGGAGGGAGGAGGAGAAGGAGATCTCGTGTAGTAGAAGGCTCTGAAAGCTTGAGGAGAAGGATTAGCTTTCAAAGGTGGAGGAGGAGAATTTATTGGAGTTGGAGGAGGAGGAGGAGGGGGATTAACCGGAGGAGGAGGAGGAGGGGGATTAACCGGAGGAGGAGGAGGAGGAGTAACCGGAGTAGGAGGAGGAGAATATATCGGAGTTGGAGGTGGATGAGCAAAAGGAGGGGGATGAGCCGGAGTAGGAGGAGGAGGAGTAACCGGAGGAGAATAAACTGGAGTAGGAGGTGGAAGAGTAGCCGGATGTTGATATGTTGGTGATGAAGGAGGAGAATATGCAGGCTGGTAGTTAGTGGGAGTTTGCAGAAGTTTTCTGTTGTTTATGGCTTCAGAAAATGTGAATAAGATTGCCAAGAGAAATACTAGGGTGAAGGAAAGGTCTGGAGACCCCATTTTTCAGGTTAATGTTAAGATCCTTTCACTTAATTATGTTATTATGTATATAGGTTATATATAGTCCATCGAAGTTGTCATAGAGGCTTCCCACTAACTTTAGGATTTATTCAGTATTCAAGTTTTCAGGTATATATTAGTATTTTTTTGAAGATATGTATCTAGTATTTAACTGGCCGGTTTTGATAGTTGTTTGCATTTTAAATATCTCTTCTTCTGCTTGTTGAGGCCTTCCTGTAAGTCTAATTAGTATATGCTTGCTTCATTCTTAAGCAGTGGTATTAACTATTATGATATCTCTTTCCGGATCATCAAATTTACAAATTATTCTGCTAGTTGCTTATATATATAAATAATGTTGTCCTTTTAAAACATGTTGTAACTTATTTATCTAGTTGCTTAATATTTCTAATATTTTGTCACTTGTGAGAAAATACTTAAATAATACTATTCGCTCTTATAATTACAAACTTAAAACAACCTGTTTTGCAAATTTACAGTTCTAACAAATAAGTAATCAAATGTGGATGTTGGAGAATGACTTGTTCCTCCTGTTGACCCGCGCCAAAAGCCGAATCCTTAGCCGTTACACTTTCTAAAAATGGAAAAGTTATTTCTGTTTTGAGACACTATCTATGTTCCAAAAATCAAAAAAGAAAATGAGTGGGGAAAAAACATAAACAGAGTTACACATATGGGGTCAAAAAAGATCCCCAAAACCCTCAATGGGCACTTTTCTCTTGTACTAATCATCACCATAATGATGGTGACTCACTCCCATGGATTTCAACTAGAGATCAGAAATGAGCTCTCGGGTCGGTACAGGAGGCTTGTGTACAAATGCTGGTCCCGCGAAAACGATCTAGGGTGGCGAGAAGACTGGCCAGATCAACACAAGGACTGGTCATTCTCCATGTCGCTATTCCACACCTATTTCTACTGCAACTTCCATACAGGATACGGACGTGTGGACAAGCAGGTAGTTGCTTCGTGGGAGATGAAATATCAGTGTGGGGACAGGGAAAAATGCACTTGGGTCGCTAAGAAGGATGGACTCTACTTGAGACACTGGAAGACCAAATTTTTTAGTAACAAGTATGGTAACGAGAGGTGGAATGAGTATGTTCAACATGATCTCCTCCAGAAAGCTTGGAGCTAAATTAACAATTTCACGATGTTAATGAGTATGAAGCTTGTAACAATGTCGTGATTTTCGTCTCTGTATGTTGTTATTTGTGTTAATAAAATATAATGTGTAACTTTATAAATGGTGAAAATGAGATGTTTTGGTATTTATTATTAATAGATTTATAACTTACTGTACATTATCAATGAATACAGTTTATGCATGATAATCACCAAAGAAGCCAGCTAAGTCGCCATTAAGAATTGAAGGCAAGCCACTGCATGTCTCATGTGGAATTGATATAATATACTATAATATTTACTTGCACCTGATTAATCTAGTGAACTTATTTTTGCAAAATGTTAAAGGCGAAAATCTATATAATAATGATTCACTTTTGAAGCTCCTAAGGCTATCCACGTCAGCAGCCGAGTGGGCCCTACGTATTTAAATTTTAAAAGCTTATAATTTTTTTTAAATGACTATGAACAATGAATACACTTTAACAAAGTGGTATAAGGCATCTAATTAAGTCTGCAAGTGTGTGGGTTCAAACCACGCAGCTGTTATGTATTTTAGTTTTTTCGTTTGGATTATTATCATATGGGATTTTTAGTTTTAATGTTTTAATGTTTATTTCCTTTGGAATTATTGTTTAAAGCCCAAAATAGTGGAAAAATCCTAAAGTTTGACGAAATCAAACCCAAAAACAATTAAAAATGGATCAAAAAACAAACATCCAAAAAAAGAAAAAAAAACGAGTCTCACGCGGCACTATGATGTCCTAATATATATTTTTAGTGTTAGAACATATTTCCTAATATATATTTTCAAAAAATTATGTATGTGAAATAAAATAAAAAAATAGTTTTGTTATTTATAAAATAACTATGTAATTTCTCTTCAATTTTTAATAGTTACTATAATTTCATTTTTATCAGACTCCGACGGATGGATTTCCACAGGCGATGACGCCGTAAAGAAAAATACAACATTATTCATGAACAAATCCAAACTTACAAAAAAACATATCCAAACCTATCTATTGAAATCCAAACAAAAAATATTAGCTTAAATTAAAGTTATTTTCAAATTGATAAATCGTTTAGTACAAATATAAATACTATAAAAAAATATTTATATCAAGTTTTGACATCCGATATAAAAACTATTCCCAACATAAAAAAAACAATATAGACATCTATTTTTATACACTAAAAACTATATTATAATTTAGTTATTCCTATAACTATAAATAACATTTAACACATTATATATACAATATTTTCACTTTGCACTCTTGCTAGATTCTTTCCATTTCATCATTATTTGTTATTAGAATAATCCACTAAACCAACAACCGAAAAAAACATAGATACCGGCCCCGCGCTTGCGCGGGGTTATGCAGCTAGTTTGTTTAATGTTCTGGATTTTTTTTTTGACGTCGTTCTGGATAGTTATAAATTGAAAAATTATGCTATAAAATGATATCATTCATTTAAAACAAAACGTTTTAACTTCTAAGCTTTTCAACCTATGTTTAAAAATCTGAGGATGACGATCATCAAGTTTCTGAAACAGGACATTTTATTTTTCAACTTTTGAGATTGGTTTCTGTTTTTATCTCCAAAAATGATGAAAACATAGCTTCTAGTACTTCTAAATTTTGAAGCTGCAACAGTAACGGTCTAATTGCCATATAAAGAACATTTATATCTAGGTTACACCTTCACCTGTTAAAATTTGTTTGAAGGCTCAAGACTCAATATTTAAGAAAAGATAGCAATTGTTATATCCAAATGGGGAGAAACCAAGGCTGGTGCTTCTTCATGGCCGCAGCTATGGTCGCAGCATTGTTACCAGTACCCACCATGACGGGGTGTCTAGACCTAAAGAACGAAATCTCGGGGGTTACTGCCTTACTGGTGTTTGGAAAGAAAAGCTAGCTGTGCAGTGCTGATCGAACAAGGATAACCTAGGGTTGGAAATGCTAAAGCCAATGCAATCACGGATCAGGACAATGAACATGTGGCCGTTCCCTAAAACTGAGTTCTAGTGCCAGTTTCGTAGCGGGTTTGGAACAACGGGCCAAGCGTGGTGATAGTGTTCTCGGTCCAGAGCGGGTTCAGGAATTGTGGAGACGGAGGCGATAAGTGCATTTGGGTAGCAAAGAGAGATGGGTTCTATCAGAGAAGGATCGCATGGGATGAGAATGAGCGTAAACACTTTGTTGATATACTGAAAACCAAATGGGTTTGGAAATGGTGATCTATTTATTCAATCTTTTATCTATTTTTAATCAAAACATTCATTATACAGGTTAATCCACATGCAGAACCAGTCCTAGATATATGTAGGCTAGAAGCCAAAAAATGTTTACTTTGTTGATATACTCAAAAGCAAATGAGTTTGGAAATGGTGATTTATTTATTCAATCTTTTATCTATTTCAAAACATTCATTATACAGGTTAATCCACATGCAGAGCCGGTCCTAGACATATGTAGGCTACAAAACAAAAAAATTATGTGGCCTTCAAGGTTTGAACTCATGACCTCAACAAGCTAGTAAGAGTATGTTTACCAATTAGGCTAAAGAAACTTCTAGCAAAAAGTGGCTGAAATAATACTTAATATTTAGCGGTCGAAAGCATGTGCTTGACATGCTTCTATTCAAGGCCGGCTCTATCCACATGATAACACATGGACAACATGACTACAAACCACAAAACTACATGGTTAGATCTAACCAATCAAAATTTCTTAATCATTGTGAGTCTTTTCGATAAGAATATTTCTAATATAAAATATTGTCATTTTCCTTTAAAATAAAATTATTTAATAATAAAATTGAGTTATATTCAGATATAACTCTATTTTAAAAGAAAAAAAAATATAGTAATGAACAAACTAAAAATGTATTACTCTATTGTAGAGTAAATCAACTTTTACTCCATTATGAATTAAGAATAAAAATAAAGTGGGTTGAAGAATTTTACTCTAAGCTCTACTTCTAAAATAAGAAATATGGAGTGGGGATATTAAACTCGGACAATCGTTATTTTAAAATAACGTACGGCATGAAGATAGTGGGGATGACTGGTTAAACTGTAGCTGTAAAAGTTTTACTGTAGAAATTAGTCTGTAGAGTTTTTTGATTTAGCTGTAAGAAATGTAGCTTTAAAATTTATTGCTACAGCAACATATTTTCTATAGCAAAAAAGATGTGGCTTTAGAAAATAAGGATTTTACAGCCATTTTTTTAGTTTTTGGTTGTAGCTTTAAAAAATAAGATAAAACATGATTGGTGATTTAAGTGCTGTAAATAAAAATAAAAAATAAAATCAGCACTTACAACCCAATCAATCACCCCCAATATCTCCAGAAAGATATTCATGGGGTTATATAAATACATGAAGATTTACAATACTATAGAGAAAGCAGTAGCATTAATTATTTTTTAAATTCCTAAAATAATCGATGTGATCTCTATTCCTGCGTAAAAACCATGAAAATCAGTTTTTGAAGTATAAGAACACATCCACATTGCAAATTTTTAGTGGAATTTCCCAAATCCCTTGCTTATTAATTGAGAAAGATTTAACTAACCTTAATATTGTAAATTAATAACAAAATTGTCATTATGTTTAGGTGTTAGCATTTCAAACCTCCTCATATCATTAAACTAAAAACCCAGCTTTTACTAGATTAATTACAATTTTTTCCATTGGTCTTACCTATTGTATATTTATTAATTATGTTTATGATAGGGTCACGATATAATGAGTAAAACACTGTCACCTTTTTATCACCTATTGTAAGTCAAAGAATAAGGATGACCTAGGGTTGGAAATGCTAAAGCCAATGCAATCACGGATATGGAAGTTCAGGACAATGAACATGTGGCCGTTCCCTAAAACTGAGTTCTAGTGCCAGTTTCGTAGCGGGTTTGGAACAACGGGCCAAGCGTGGTGATAGTGTTCTCGGTCCAGAGCGGGTTCAGGAGGAATTGTGGAGACGGAGGCGATAAGTGCATTTGGGTAGCAAAGAGAGATGGGTTCTATCAGAGAAGGATCGCATGGGATGAGAATGAGTGTAAACACTTTGTTGATATACTGAAAACCAAATGGGTTTGGAAATGGTGATTTATTTATTCAATCTCTTATCTATTTTTAATCAAAACATTCATTATACAGGTTAATCCACATGCAGAACCAGTCCTAGATATATGTAGGCTAGAAGCCAAAAAATGTTTACTTTGTTGATATACTCAAAAGCAAATGAGTTTGGAAATGGTGATTTATTTATTCAATCTTTTATCTATTTTTAATCAAAACGTTCATTATACAGGTTAATTCACATGCAGAGCCGGTCCTAGACATATGTAGGCTACAAAACAAAAAAATTATGTGGCCTTCAAGGTTTGAACTCATGACCTCAACAAGCTAGTAAGAGTATGTTTACCAATTAGGCTAGAGAAACTTCTAGCAAAAAGTGGCTGAAATAATACTTAATATTTAGCGGTCGAAAGCATGTGCTTGACATGCTTCCATTCAAGGCCGGCTCTGTCCACATGATAACACATGGACAACATGACTACAAACCACAAAAATACATTGTTAGATCTAACCAATCAAAATTTCTTATTCATTGTGAGTCTTTTCGATAAGAATATTTCTAATATAAAATATTGTCATTTTTCTTTAAAATAAAATTATTTAATAATAAAATTGAGTTATATTCAGATATAACTCTATTTTAAAAGAAAAAAAATATAGTAATGAACAAACTAAAAATGTATTACTCTATTGTAGAGTAAATCAACTTTTACTCCATTATGAATTAAGAATAAAAATAAAGTGGGTTGAAGAATTTTACTCTAAGCTCTATTTCTAAAATAAGAAATATGGAGTGGGGATATTAGACTCGGACAATCGTTATTTTAAAATAACGTACGGCATGACGATAGTGGTGATGATTGGTTGAACTGTAGCTGTAAAAGTTTTACTGTAGAAATTAGTCTTTAGAGTTTTTTGATTTAGCTGTAAGAAATGTAGCCTTAAAATTTATTGCTACAGCAACATATTTTCTACAGCAAAAAAGATGTGGCTTTAGAAAATAAGGATTTTACAGCCATTTTTTTAGTTTTTGGTTGTAGCTTTAAAAATTAAGATAAAGCATGATTGGTGATTTAAGTGCTGTAAATAAAAATAAAAACTAAAATCAGCACTTACAATCCAATCAATCACCCCCAATATCTCCAGAAAGATATTCATGGGGTTATATAAATACATGAAGATTTACAATACTATATAGAAAGCAGTAGCATTAATTATTTTTTAAATTCCTAAAATAATCGATGTGATCTCTATTTCTGCGTAAAAACCATGAAAATCAGTTTTTGAGGTATAAGAACACATTTAGTGGAATTTCCCAAATCCCTTTCTTATTAATTAAGAAAGATTGGTATTAACTAACCTTAATATTGTAAATTAATAACAAAATTGTCATTATGTTTAGGTGTTAGCATTTTAAACCTCCTCACATCATTAAACTAAAAACCCAGCTTTTACTAGATTAATTACAATTTTTTCCATTGGTCTTACCTATTGTATATTTATTAATTATGTTTATGATAGGGTCACGATATAATGAGTAAAACACTGTCACCTTTTTATCACCTATTGTAAGTCAAAGAATAAGAAATGATATATTAATGTCAATGGACTTTTCTGATGACAAACGAGTAATATTTGTATACAAAGTTCCAGTAAATTCACCATAATTTTTATTTTGTAGTGATTTTGAAAGTGTTCTTCCTTATGAGATACTACTTATCATTTGCTCAAAAAAAAAAGAAACTACTCATCAAAAAGACATACAAAATACAGCTTGGCACAGAGCTTGATCATTATGAATTCAACAGCAATATTCAAACAAGTTTAAACCACTGAAATGTAATCGTAGCTTTAATTCTATAATCAATCTAATACATGTTGATCATGGTTCATTGTTAACATAATCAAAGTTGTATACAAGCAACTTAATACAAAGGTCTAGCTGAGAACACAATTACTATATAATTACGAATTTACGATTACTATAATTTTACAAGCAACCTAATTCATAGTTCGTGGTTTAAAATTACTCACAAATTTTGAGTCATTTTATGAATTTAAAAGTAATCTTGTGCCATCGAAACTATTATTCTTATGTATGTGAGTTTTATTTATTATTGACAGTGTTTTATGTATTTGATAACAATCACTATATACAAATAATGTGTATCATTAAGTTTACTTCAGATACCCATTCAAAAGTATTTATATATTGAATGATACTATTAAAGTATATACTAAATATGTAATTTATATGGTTTAGTTGGAGTATTGGCCAAATTTTTTTGGTTTAGTTGGAGTATTCACCCCACTTTTCCCCCCCCCCGTAAAATCCATCCTTGAAGACCGCGTTGAGGCTGCTCTAAGTAAAGTTCTTGACATTTGACATTTGTAAACCGTTATAATATATGTACTTGAACGTAAAAAGCCTTAAATATTACTATTTTTGATCAAAAAGGTCTTTAAAAATATTTTTGGTTTTAAGCCTATATAACTAAAAATTCATTAACTGAAAAATCAATAATGTAAAACTAAAATTTTCAACAAAATTACAATTATGCAGTATAAACATTTTTAAGATTTTACACCGCGTTGGGCGCAGATCACTATCTAGTTAACATAATAAACATGTTAATTAGATATTAAGGCAATGAATAGTGACGGGTGCGGGTGCGGATTTCAACAAAAAAAATCGAAAACTGCACAAAATCACCAATTAATTCTTTTTTCTTTTTTTTAATTTGCGGAACCCAAAATAGATAAATTGTACATGTGCGTTCTTCAAAAAATATAAAAATACACATAAACATTTTTATTGGTTACCGCACTCGGTGGATACCGGAATTTACCATAACCGCGTGTAGTAAAGAAAAAAAGTCAGCTTTTATTTATTAATATTGTTTTAGTTATTGCAGAAAAATAGATGTATAAATAAAAGAGAGAAATTTGAAAAATTAGTACAATACACATTCACACATTCACACATTCACATTCACGTACAATACAAAATTCTCTATTTTCATTCCTGCAACAGATATAAAGAAGGTGCTATTTATTTCCCTTTTTGTTTAATTTTTTATTTTATAGAATAATAAGGGTGATTTTGCTCTATATTCATAAGAGAGTAAAAAATTAAGAATATAGTCATGCTA